CCTGTTACCATTTTTTATCTTTCACTAATGGCCATCATCCGTTTGCAGACTTCCTACACAAAGCAATCGCGTAATCACAGGTACTCAGCATTGAGGCCCCACAATGACGTCCCAACTAAATGATTACTTGAAAAACAATTACACAGACAAAAAAGCTAACGTATGAGCATCGCAGGCGCCATACGTAAACTTTCAGTACTCGCGACACACAACGCGCCCTTCAATAAAGTCCCAACTACGCAATTACTTGAACAACAATCACACAGACGAACAAATTCACGCATGAGCATCACAGGCGCTATAAGTGATCTTTCGGTATTTGCGACAGACAACGCGCCCTGCCCGTATAGCAGTGTGTTTGCCCCCACCTTTATAGGCACGACGTCTTCGACATGCCATTGAAATTTCTTCACAGATTGAAAAACACCCGCCCAAAACGCTACGGTACCCTTATGAAAGTAAATAACACCGGCAACCCAGGGAAACTTTATACAAGGTAGTTCTTGGTAATAAACAGTAAACGAGATATGTATTAAGTATAAAAAACGCCAAAAACTGTTCACATTGTTACTATATCTATGTCAACAACATAGATTACCAGCAGTCCACTGGGTCCGTTACTCAGTATTTGATTTGATGTGCTCTCAAATCACTTCGACTTTCGACTTTCGACATACGTTCCTGCTTCCCTTCGGTGCGTTACCCAGCCAGCCTACAATTTTAAAAAAAACATAAAAGGGTCTGCACTTTCACACTGAAACACCTTCTAGCATCAATACTGCACTTGCACGCACATTAGGGCACAACACGTAGTATGCGCTAAAATGGTGCAATTTTCATGACGAAATTTTACTTGGTAGTTAAGCACATATTTGGTCACACTATTTTGATTCATTGAGTAGATTTAATTTCGCGAAAGCATTTTATTTACGAAAATAACCATTTTAGTTAGGTTAATTAGGAGAAATGAGCACTAATTTTTGCGAAATTAAGATTAGTCTCATATCGAAGGAATTTCCTATGATATTACGTACGACACAACCAAACATTTTATTAATGAGGATAAAACTTTGTAGGAACTCCAAAATTAGTAAAAAGGGCATAAAAGATATCCCTTTCAGAACTGGAGAATTTTGTTAGAAACTGTTCAGATAGAACTGAAGCCAATTTGAAGGAATCGCATTTATTTTCAGAAACAAGGAACGATTTATGTTTATTTAGAAACGGAACAGACAGAAAAATTATTATTATTATTATTTCAAAAAATGGTCATATTTATAGCAATTTCTTGCATTCGCAAGCTTATAACAGATCCTGGAAGTAATCCACTATTTCGTATAAACTGGAAGGCAGACAATCCAAAAATGTAATTTCAAGGAAAGGTGTCTTTTCCTTGAAGGTATTCCACTATGGTGGAAAATAATCCATTATAAAGCGAAAAGTTCTTTCATCTCCAGTCAAAGTGAATCATTTATCTTCAGGTTTATTTAAAGGAAATGCCAAGTCTCCGATCTCTTTGTGACAGTACCTTGGAAAAAGTTAATATACACAAAAATTTGTCAGTTGAATATCCAATTAAAGCACTTTTTACTGAGGTAACCTATTATATAAAGTTTCTTATTGATCTTAGGAATAACAATATCCGAGTTTTCTTGCGGACTTTCTGTATGTTTGACAGTGCGGTTTGCGGTGTTGAGGCATTTCTAAATATGATCCATATGACCATCTTCATAAAATCTAATAACCAAAAACTCATTTTTTTCGTTAAATGCTCTTTAGGTCTATCTTATTTTAAAGGTTTTGATGTAAACGCCGAACAGAAGATCGATTATTAAATGAACAAATGAAGACAATGAAACCACAGGAGATGATTCTACTACTTCACGGACGATATTAAATAAATAAGTATCCATTAACGGTTATATATAGAAAAAATAGAAAAATATGGCTACGTAACGTTTTCAATTAAACAAAATATTTTATTTTATTCTTCTAATCTATGGCTGTTTTACGTCTCCCGAACTTGGGGATTATCGGGAAATTTTCATTTTTCATATCAAACACATAGTACTTCACATAATTATTTTAACTTTTAAATATGCCTAATGCTGTTCATGATTATTTCTAAGTTTTCATAAATGCGTTCGCACCGGTATGCGAGTAATGATCAAGCTTTTACAAAGTTATGAAAGTTTCACAATTTTTAGCGCATGCTGTACATTTGCACCTAACTTAGCTCACGAACTTTGAGGCAATAAATTGCTGGCTTCAACTTTGCCACACATTAGATTATGGCGAAACACTTCAGATACGCACAGGAAAGCATTGCTAGTAGACACGAAAGTTTTGGCCACACAGAGAAAACAAAATTGTACATGTGTATATACTACTCATTATTTTATAGTTATATATTTTATGTTGGATATTTTATGTAAATTGTTTTCAGTAGGGTCGTCAAAGGCATTGCCTACTACCCTAAATATACTGAACTATACTGAACATTAAAAAAAAATACTTACAATTTAACTAGCAGACGGATGTGCCGCAGCCACATGCCTCAGAAATTGTTCCCACGCGGTTTTTACATCCATTGCCCGAAGTTCTTTAATCGTCCGGGCTGATGAGCAAACCTTACGGCACTGCGCATACCAGTACGACGCAGTCTTGTGCGCGATCCCCAGATCTTGTTCGCACTGCTTCACTCCCAACCCCTGGATAAACAGCAGCCATAACTTGAGGACACTCCTTATTGTCAAGTGGCTGCCCTGAAATATTGAGCCAGTTCGCAGTGCCTTCTTCCGCCGACAGCGTAAACAACAGAACGCATAGCCATCCGTATGCTGGCGCAGAATCTCCTTCTTCATCCACAACTGGCAACCGTCACACTTAACAGCAAACGGAAGCAGCCCTTTCTCCTGACAGTACTCCACAACCTCCTCGGAGTTTATTATGCGCAATATCTCCTCTGTCTTGCTGTAACGCTCCACTTGGGGTTTTGCTTTCCTCTTCCTACTTCCCACAGTGCCTCTACAATTATAAATACAAACAAAAAACGTATTACTTCACTCGCAAGCTAATACATACCAATCCCCAAAGCTAAAACTTGACACTCCCTCGCTTTTGCCACTAAGCGGCTGGCTATTGAACTTGACGCTTTCAGTGGTCACTGTAAGGCTATTTGAGCTCAGTAAATTTTCTCTAATTCATTCCGTCTTCCCAGACTTGTGATTTGGGGGTCCTTCTGCTGTCGACTCCGACCACTTGCGACACACCAACTATTCTGTCTAGGATAAAATGTCGGTAGGAGTACCTCGCGAAGCCGCCTGGGAAGCGCGCTGAGCGCGCTCCTCAGTCTTACGGGCTCCCGGTTTTACGGGTGAGGACGGAGATCGCAATAATCTTCTAAAATAAAAAAGTTACGAGGGTAAGCTGGGGCGAGGACACTGAAGTACGCTTTAATATCATCGGTAACTCCAACCGGACCAACTGCGAGAAGTTGTATGTCGGGGTAGTATGCCCTAACCTCGGACGAGGTCATTGAGGTACATTATCTAGTA